ATTATTTACTTAAAGGTTTATATTACTTTTTGTCTATCATTAACTATTATTAAAATAATGTAAAAGCCATTTTCCTTATTTATGGAGGTACTATCTATCAAATAGTTAGAGCCCCAAAGTGATATCACATGTCTAAGCTACTTATCAAGACAACAAAATTATGTCAATATAGTATATTCGTATCTACCCAATTTCAAGTGAAATTGTTAAGATTTAACAATGCACAGTTTTCTTAAGTTTCACTATTTCTCAAAGCCTATATATAAAGACAGTATTAAAATACATTTCGTGTTCAAAATTGAGCTATCAGCTGTTAAAATGTGTATACATTTTTGGGGGCACCCTGTATTTAATGTTGCAGTATACTGGTGACCATAACATTTTCCTGTAGATTTTAACTTTCCTAGCTATACTAGAAGATAGAGGCAAATTGGTATTCAATTTTTCCTTATAGACTGTCACCAAAATAATCATCAGTAGAATCACTGAGGTCAGATGGTTATATCTTAGTTGCTTATGTTTTTATTTCACTCAGGTAATTGAAATATTACTTCACCCAGCTCATGAATTTCATGCAATTTTGAATGAGAAGTTAAAAGCTGTGCAATTGCTTTGAACTAAAACCTTTAAGTAGCTTAATGAAGCATGCGCTTTTTAGACTCGGTAAGGAGATCATAATGAGATAAGGAAGCCAAGCCCTTTGCAGCATCACATTCTCTCTCAAGTAGTCATTGAGCTTATGGAGATGCAGCATGCCAGGTCCTGATCTTGCACATATGAAGGGTAATTTAAGTTTAACATTGAAAAATGGCATTCTACCACAGTACTCTCTCACCCAAATTTTCGGCCTATGACAGGCCAGCATTTGGGGGAGGCGGGTAGTATTGTGAGCTAGATGGGCCACAAGTGTACCAAAGGGAAGAAGAATGAGGAGGGGATTTCTGGAGCCAAGTGACTTAACTCCTAGGGCTTAAAATTTGCAGTTGCATCTTTGCTTTGAGGATGTTTAGATATCTGTCTCTGCATTTTATATTACCTACTTGACCTCAGCATACCCTTTCCCTCTTATATCTTTTCACTATAACCACTAATTCAGGCATTGGCATATATTGGTACTGTATCCTTAAATATTGTTCAAGAGCAAACTTAAGTTACTAAAAATAGAGATCTATGAAGCTGCCTGGCTGCAGGAATTCAGGGTATAATCAGTTACTGCCAAATGCAGAAGCAAAAGCACTTAGAGTTTTATCCTCTCTGTTGGTAATCAGGAGATCAATCTATTTATAGATTCACAGTCTTCTTGACCTTTTAATAGGATAACCAGTAAGAAAGCCTCATTGTAAATGGGTTACAGAAATGGAGGCATTCTCTCTGCTCATGATTATGTTTCTGAAACTCTTTGGTACCAGGGTAAATTAATTTCCATGCCAAGGTAACTGAATATGCATATGTACAGACAGGATAAATATGTTACTCTGCATTAGAGGTTAACTTTAAAGAATGTTAGGCTGGTTGACTCACCTGTGGAAAAAAATGAGTTTATTACCTGAAAAATAGTTTTAATATATTTTTATTAATTTCAGAGAGGAAGGAAGAGGAAGAGAGAGAAACATCAATGAGGAGAGAGAATCATTGAACGGCTGCCTCCTACAATCCCCCTACTGGAAATGGAGCCTGCAACCCAGGCATGTACCCTGATTGGGAATTGAACCCTGACCTCATGGTTCATAGGTTGACGTTCAACCACTGAGCCGCACCGGCCAGGCCTGAAAAATACCTTTAATTCACATTGCTGACAATTAGGCTAGAATAAATTTTAATTTTATTACTCAAATATATATTGACACAAAACAGCTGCAACAAACTGTATATGCAAGTTAGATATACACTGAATTCTCCCAGGATTTGTGTTGTTTGTTTTTGCTATTCACCAAAATAAATAAAATTGTTTAATTTCTTATGTTCTTTCTGGTGGAATGGGGTTAGGTATCACATATTCAGAATTTTTAAAATTCACAGTCATTAATCAAAGCATTCTAAATCAAAGTCAGCTTGGATTTGTTAAGCATATAGGTTTTGCACATATCTCTCCGATTTATTCACAATTTGGCAAAGAGAAAATATACTTAAATGCCTCTTTTTAGAATTGGAGTTCTCATTGTTGCTTGCTATTAAGATCCAGCAGAGGGAGCAAGAGCTGGTGAGTAGAAACATTTAGAAAAAGGCTTGCTAACATAAAGAATGAATCCAAAGAATTTTCCAGATTTCAGAACTACGAGTGTGCTATACTTTATGCTGATAGAAGCCGTAGAACAAACTCTCTAAGGAGTTTCTAACCGATAGAGTTCTTCAGTGGTTGGCTGCCTAGATTTTTCTTAATGGCATGATCAAGCAATTGGTATTGTCAGGTACCAGTGTCAAGATCAGGATCTTTCCAGAAATTTCATTTCTTTGCATATACAACATTCTTTGACTGAAGTCCCAGGATGTTCTTAGAAAGGTTTTGATTTTAAAAATCACACAAGAGTACCCTAAATCTGATTATCCTTTGCATCATCGAAAGATGAGATGCAAGGTTTGAACTTTCTGGCATGCCAATATCTTATCATTTGCATTAAGATTTTCCTTTTAAGGATTGTCAATGTGCTCGGGTGACCATTTTTATATTTTGAAGAAAAATGTAGAAAATCCCCATAGTGTTGGGCTTACTAATTTGGAAACAATCTGAAATAAACCAATCTGCCTTCGAGGTGCGCATATAATGTTTTAAAAATATGGATATCACAGGCTTAGTGACATAATCTTTTCAGATATTACCTGTGTCCCTAAGATATGTTCCTCCAATTTTTTTAAAGATGGGTATTGATACCCCTGTTCCCTGATACTCTTTGCCCCATCCTGTTTGTATCTAATGTCATCCTGGGCATTGCCAGAAATCATTTAGATGACCTCAGCCCAGGGCACTCAACATGAAAGAAAATCTTATTTTTAATCTTCTTAACACGGTCCTTGATCTGATCCTTGCCAGTTTTCATCTGTCTTGTTCCATGTGCCTTCCCCATTATCTGGATTGCCTGTTGTTAGCTTTGTTTCTGGTCAACTGGAACTCAAACCTCCCTTGCTTCCCCCAGGCCTCTTTTCTGATGAATTCTGCCTGCCTCTCTGGATGTCAGGGTTGGGCAGCTCCCAAACTCATAACTTTCAACGCCTTATTTGGGCAAATTACTTAACTTCATTGTATCTTGATGCTTTCATTTGTAATATAGGGGTAATAGGTTGGTTATAAATATTAAATTAGCTATTATACAGAAGTGCTTAGAATAGCACATGGAGTATGCAGTTACATAATTGCTCATTATTATTACTGATGGACGGTATTGATGGTGGTGGTGGAGGTAGTGGTCTCTCCTGTCTCATTCTGACAGCTGCCCTAAGCTACTGACTTCTGTCTATTCCCAGTCTCCTAGATCCCACGTCCAGCTGGCCTCACCAGACTTGAGTCAAGTTCCTATATTGTATCCTCTGAGCATCTGCTACATTCCAAGGGACACTATTACTTGTCCAGAACAAACCACTCTGTAGGAAAGTTAGAACATGTCAAAATTGTAGCAGGCTTCTTTTCTTGCAGTCCCCAAAATGAGTCTATTCTGGAATTCTGAAAAAATAGTGGCAGCAGTGACATGGTGTCTAAATGTCCTTGAATTCCCCCATGAAAATAGAAGGAGCAGAGAGGAGAGAAAATTCAAAAATTGGTGACAATGTTGACAACAAAATTAGGTGGCAAGGTATTCTCACAAATCCCAAAATATGAGCTGTCAATTTCATGACCATATACTACCATCCTTGCAGTAGGAAGCAAAGGGAAGTATTGGGTTGCCTGATGGAAATGAGACCAGGATAACACCCAAATTACTAATAAATACTCATGAGAATTTGATTCAGGGCAATCGGATAATAGTTAAAACTGGGAAAAGTGTTTTTATACCATTCATAAGTCAGTGAAAAGCCCCCTTTCTAATGGCTGAAGGGTCTGAACACTGTGCTGTGAATTCTTAAAACTCACTAGTTGAAGGTTCTTCTCAGGATAAATTTGCGAGACTAAAGCCAGTGTGTTTTTTGTGTGAATAATTTTTAACACTGAGTGCTGGTGGAAAGCAAAGGAGGTTTTCATAGCAAAGCCAATTCCTTTTCCACCCAGCAGGGATGTGTAGGGCACATGTTTCCGCTGTCCTTGACAGGAACTGTTGACACAGGAGACATTGCTAATTTGACCAGTCTCGATCTCCTGTCCCTGTACTTTTTGAAGGTTTGGAAAAAACCAAACCAAACTGTCCCTTATTTTTTGAGATCTCCGAACTCTGTTCATTGTTTCTATTTTTGTCTGGACCTTCCATTTCCTTTGTCCCTATTGTCCCCACCTCCTCAATTTGGACACAATTTTGCTTCTTGGAGCTTTTATCCTTTCCCTCTAATATCCACAGTGTGTTCTGTGCTTTCTAAAGGGTGGCTGCTCAGATTTCTTGATGAAAGCATCCATAATCCTGCTCGAAATCTCAACCCTTTAGAACAGGGTTTGCCCACTGTGTTCAGTTTTTCCTAACCCTTACCAAGTGTGAATTCCAATCCCCACTGTTCTCAGTTGCCAATTGGGGCTTTAATGCAAATCATATCATTTTTATCCAATTCCAGGAACTAGTACTTGACCATGGAGTTCTGTACCATATAGAAAAGCAAAAATGTGTAAACCTAATCCATCTGCTTATTCACTCACCAATATGAATAAACATGTACTTAAGCCATAGATGACTAAGTAGACATATCCAAGTGATTTATGAGTGAACAGTAACATATGCATGTTGTAATAAGAGTCAGAGATAAACAGAGTGGACAAGTATAACAAATACATATTTGGGGTTGAGACTAAGGAAAAAATTGAAAACATTCCATATATTAGAAAGGTTCTCTTCTCCTTTTTTGCATTCATTTGTACATGACTTAGTAATTTTAGCATTTTAAAACTTAATGAATATATTTTGTATTTATATTTGGCTCAAATATGTATTAACTTTACATTAATTATGGGGCTAATGCAGTGTTTGAGTGTAAACCAAGGATCTTATGTTTGCAGTTAACAATTTAATCTTGCTTTTGAAGAATTTTTAATGTGAAATCACCATTTAGCCTTGTAATAGATTTTCTTAGGGTCAACTGCTTTCCGTCAAATTTGGCATTAGGAATGAAAAAAAAGATGTATGAATATGTTTAAGTTACAGAAATAAACAATGTAATTAATCTTCATTAATATATAAAATGAAGTATCTAGTAAGGAAGCAATCTATAAAAACATATACTTGAATATTTAACCTTGTTTATATTTATTTGCATATGGCACTATAGACAGTTCAAGAATAGAATAGTGGAATTTGGACACTGTCCTAATTTTAAAAGAATTTGTAGAAGAATTCCTAATTTGTAATAAGTAGATGCTCCCTTCTTCTTTGATACTACACTGTAAACAAGTCATTCCTCTTGAGTAGATGCTAATGACAATGCCAGTGTTGTCACTTTTGTTTTAGTAGGAGTTCAGAAACTTACATGGATCTGAAAATGGAAACAGAAAATGGAAAATACATAATTTAAAGCAATGTGTTGTTCTTAGAGAGATTTCCTTACACATGTGTATACTTTTGTTATCAATATACACTTAGATATCAGAAAGATTTCCTGACTTATCTCTGACTAATGCTTTTGTGTGTGTGTGTTCCCTTTAGATAAGAAATGTTGAGACTAATCAATGTTTAGACAACATGGGCCGCAAGGAAAATGAAAAAGTGGGCATATTCAACTGTCATGGTATGGGAGGAAATCAGGTAAGTTCTCTTTTTTTATCAGCTTCATATTTGGGGTGGAGCAAGGGAGACATATTATTGTGAAAACTATCACACTAGACCATGGCTTACAACTCAATTACAATACTTAGTTTAGCAAATCAATGGGCATTCAAATTAAGAACTAATTACACTGTTTTATTGCCCCAAATTTCTTAAGAAAGTACTACAGAATTTAATTAAAAGGGCAAAACTTTCAACTAGCCTGCAGTAATGAAAACAGCCCGATATTTCAGACTCATCTCATTTTACCTTGTATGAGCAAATGAGGATAAAATGTATAATGTCAAAGCCTCAGGAATTCATAAATGAAGTGAACAAAAGCTAAAACCCTACACTTACAGATATTCTAATGTCTCTACATCATGAATTTAGTGACAAGATAGAAATTAAACCAATATTTTTCATCTTTATGATTATTTATTCATGTCTATAAATATTTGTACAAGAATGTTTACTGAAACCTTTCTTATTATAACACAAACAGTGAAAACAACTAAATATTTGCCAAGAGGGGAACATTTAATTAAATCATGATGTATTCATAGTGTAGAATATTACATAGCCAGCAAAATGACTGAGAGAAGTCTATATGTATTGCTATCAAAATTGAAAAGAGGGTTAAAAAAAATCAGTACAATTTATTTTGAATGATCTCATTTACAAAAAAATACGTATGAACATTTTTCTCTATGTAGTATCTATAATATCTATATTTATGTGGATCATTATCTACTCTATTAGATATGTATAGAAATCTATCTGGAATATAGATTACCTCTGGTAAAAAGATTGAATTGGAATAGAAAATTTTAGTTTTTACTCCACATATTTTGTATATATGTATTACTTTCATAATTAAACAAAAATAGAGAAAGATGAACTGTTGATAATAAAAGAACATCATTTTACAGCATTAGCATAGCCTGGGTAATTTATGATGTTACATAATACTTTTTAAATTTATCTTTATTGCTTAAAGTATTATAGATGTCCCCTTTATTTCCCTCAGTGACCCCTCTGCCCTGGCACCATCCCTCCAGCCTTCACTGCACATTGTCTATGTCCATGGGTTATGTATAGATGCATATAAGTTCTTTGGTTAATCTCTTTAATATTTTATCTATAAAGTGGATAAAAGATTTCCCCCATGTTTTTCCCTCTAAATATTAGTAAAATCTATAAAACAACTAACACTAGCCTGCCATATACTAGACATTCAATACTTATTACCATTAATTATTACATTTACTTATTATTTTATTTATGTTCTTAATTATTTCTCTTTGTACTTCTATAAAAAAATATGGTCATTTAGTGACTAATGCCAGGGGCAAGATAAATGCACAACACTTCCTCTGATATTGTTAAGCTAATAAAATAAACTGCCTCTCCTGTAGTTCTAACAAATATATATTATGAAAAAATTAACCCATTATATAAAACCCTATTATGATTTATACCTTGGTAGAACTAAATATTTCTAAGGTCATTAATAATAATAACATGCTTAAATTTTAGACTTACTTGAAAAAAGAACAGATTTCAGTATTTTGTTCTCAGAGCTACCTTCCCTGTTTTTTTGTGGGTTTTTTTTTTTTTTTATTGCTATCCTTGCTTGTTACCATGGAAGCAGCATCTATTTTTATGGTTATTTCATTTTGAATTCTTAAAAGTAGCCTCAATCCATAAAAATATTCAAATTTCTCTCTTCTGCTTTTATACAAAAGTTATAACAATGTTAACCCTGTTTTTTCAGTATTTCCACTCAGTTACATTTCTAAAAGAAGATTCTTCATGTCTGTTGACAATTATACCATAACCATTTCTCTTTGCACAGGAGTTCTTTTTTTTTAAAATATATTTTATTGATTTTTTACAGAGAGGAAGGGAGAGAGATAGAGAGTTAGAAACATCTATGAGAGAGAAACATCGATTAGCTGCCTCCTGCACTTCTCCTACTGGGGATGTGCCCGCAACCCAGGTACATGCCCTTGACCGGAATCGAACCTGGGACCTTTCAGTCCGCAGGCCGACGCTCTATCCACTGAGCCAAACCGGTTTCGGCTGCACAGGAGTTCTGGTATTTCTTTTTTTAAGCTCTGGAGATATCACTAAGAAACTAACCTTCAGTAGTTGTTGGATATATCTTTCTTAAACACTCATATATCCAGCACATTCTCCTCTCTTTATCCACAGCACCTGGCACAAGGCTTGGGATATAGTAAGTACCTAAAAAACTAGTTAAATAAATAGATGAAAGAATGCATGGAAGTTTTTATAACAGGAATACTGGAAAAACAAGATAGCAGTGGAGTGTTATTAAATTCAACACTTGATCATATTGAAGTGGTCTTTTAAAAATCTTAATAATAAAAGTCTTCTACCTCAAATAACAATGACAAAATTAGCCACCCTATTCCTATCTGTTCTTGAAATGCTCTTTTACTAGCAAGTAATATGATGATCATTAAACATTTTCAAAAGGATGAAAATAAAAAGGAATTTGATTAAAACTTGAACATATATTTTTGCATGTGAAATAAAGAAGTTAAAATTTACTGAGAGGAAGGGTTTTACTAGAAGTTATGGGATTGTGTTCTCTATACTTCTGAAAAGATAATGTACCTGGTAGATTCCTGGAAGCATTTCTATGTCCCCTACAATGCTAATGACTCAGATTTTATATCTTCCTCACCAACCTATCTCCTGAGCTCTAGAATCTATTGCCAATTAATTATTAAAATCACAACTATTTTCATATGTAGTCATTTTCTTCCCTTTTACACAATCATCCAAAATTGAACCCCAGCATAGACACTTCACTTTTGAATTTTAATTGGTCACCACATCCTGATATTTCCATGAAAGTAATCCCTTGACTCCTAACCTTAAGTCCTTTTACAATGAGGGACGCTATATTTATCTAGCCTATATTTGACCTGTGTGGTCAAAATATCTCATTATTTCCATACATCTTATAGAAGTTCATTCATATATCTCATACATGCTACATTAGAATTAAAACTTTAGTAATATCTCCAATACTTCTCTCTGTTCAAAGAATAAAGTAGAAATTCATTAGTTATGATATACAAAGCTCCTAATAATTGTATTCCCATCTGACTTTCCAGCATAGTCTTCCTAATAATCCCTTGTATTCTAAACATATGTCTTATAATTTTTTATTCCCTGGATGCTCTGTGCATTTTCATATCTCTACAGTTCACTGATAACTGATCTCTCTAATTGCACGATTGACCACATACTGCTCCACTCACAAACTTAAAACATACTCACTGTTTTAAACCTAAATAAATTTGCTTTTTAAAAAAACTTCCTATTAGCTAGTAACTTCTTAACTTAAACTGGATGCATTATTAATGGGCAAATTATAATTTATTTAATCAGTCCATTATTGTTTAATACAAAGTGTTATTTGTGAACTTTATTATAGACAAGGCTCATCAATACTCTTGCAGCTAAAATCGGTAAGCATCCATATTAACTTCTTCAGAAAAAAAAGTCCAGAAGTAAATTTGAAATAGCAGTTATTCAGCAGCATAGGTCTTTCAGTAGTGAAAAATTTTCATTTTTAATGTTTTACCAATTTAATAGGACAAAATTGGGGGAGGGAAGCAACCCCCATACATATTGTATTCATTCCTAATAGCTAAAATAGGAAGAGACACTCTGATAGACATTTAACATACATGCCTTACCCTCTTTGATTCTCACAACAATCTAATACATGGTGTTATTACCCTAATTTTACTCATGAGTCTAATGTAAACTCTGAGAGATTAATAAAATGATTGAGGTGGTAAACCCAGTTTGAACTTAAAACCAGTTGACTACGCCAAATTTATATTCACTGCATTTATATTGGTTACCAAACATACTCCCCCAGGATTGTGATCACAGTGACCAAACCTAACTGGGAATTGTATTTTATTTGTTTTTTATCTTTGCCAATTTAGTATGGGAGGAACATTTTACTTTATTTTAAATTATATTTCTAACATTATCAGTGCAGTTAAGTATTTTTAAAATTGGCATCAATAATTCGTTGTGAGTATCTGAGTCATAGTTTTTGCTTATGTTTTTATTGGGGGTTGAGAGGATTCTTTTTTCTCTTATCCTAATATATAAAAACCCTGGGTCGCAAGGACCAGTAAGGATTGAGGCTCCACCAAACAGAAGCCAGTCCTGCGGTCAGCACTGGTTGCCATGGCAACCCAGCTGACTGCTTCCGCTGGAGGCAGGTGCCCAGCACTGACTGCTGAGGGGACTGCGAATCAGGGCCATAAAGAGGCCTGAAGAGAGAAGCAAGGACTGATCCGTTGACTCTGTAGCAGCTTGTGATCAACACTTGCCTCTCTCTTTCTCTCCCATTCTGGCCAGCAGCCAGCTTCCATTTCTCTCCAGGTCTCCAGGGGGCTGCTGATCAGCCCTGCCTTTCTGATCAGGACCCGCTGACTGGCATAGTAACTGACCAATCAGAAACAAATGTGGGTGCTGTGAAGAACCAATGGTTGCCTAAGAGGTGGAGCTTCTGATGCTGACTGGCATAAGCACCAACCAATCAGAACCAAATCTGGGTGCTGTGGGGAACCAATGGCTGCCTAGGATGGGGAGCTTTTGACGCTGACTGGCATAAAACTGGCCAATCATAACCAAATTGGCCAGCAGAGGCGGGCAGTTGGGTGCAATCAGACAGGCAGGCAGAGGAAGTTAGGGGTAATCAGGTGAAGAGTTAGGAGCCAGCGGTCCCAGATTGCACGAGGGATGTCGGACTGCCAGTTTAGGCCCAAACTGGCAGTCAGACATCCCCCAATAGGTCCCCAGTTGGAGAGGGTACAGGCTGGGCTGAGGGAATCCCTCCCTCCGTGCATGAATTCCATGCACCAGGCCTATTATCTCCTTATAAAAACACTTTATTAAATAAGATAATTACCTTCTGTCATATTGCAGATATTTTT